CTCCTTCCCTCTTTATCCATTTTCCTTCCTTCCCCCCTTCCCTCTTTATCCATTTTCCTTCCCAACTTCCCTCCCTCCTCCCTCCTTTATCCATTTTTCTTCCTTTTTTCCCTCCCTCCTCCCTCCTTTATCCATTCTCCCTCCTTCCTTCCTTCCCTCCCTCCCTCCCTCCCTCCCTTCTTTCCTAACTTCAGTTTACCACCTTATGTGATTGACTGGCTGCCTAATTGGCCCAAAGTCACCCAGTAAACCTCCGTAGTTGAGGAAGTCCTCCACTCTAACCACTGCACCACGCTGTCTGATGAACAGACTACAGAGGTTCATAGGCTGAGCTGCCCTACAGATCTTGACGGCTCTACCGAACAAAAATCAACAATAGATTCTTTTGGGGGGGGGGGGATTTCTTAAATTTTTTGTTCTCTATGTACAATTATAGGTTATTCACATAGTTATTTGTCTTTTTTACATTCGTCGCTCTTATACATTTGTCATTCCATTTACAGGGTTATAATATACCATTTGGGTTGCTTTGTTTGACACCACCTTCTTTTCCCTTTCTTTTCTCCCTCCCTCCTTTCTCTACTTTCTTCCTCCCTCTCTCCTTTCCCTTCCTTCTTCCCTTACCTCTCCCCTCTTCCCCTTCCTGCCCTCTCTCCTTCTCCCTTCCATCTTCCTCTCCACACCTCTATTTTCCTTCTCTCCTCCTCTCTTCCTTTCTTTTTCTATTGTCATAGGTGTCTCTTCCAGCTCTTAATTGTTATTTTCCTGGGGTGGTATTTCAACAGATTCTGATAGTGATTTATTTTGTTCTCAAGAGCAAGTTTCCTCTTCCAGAACTGTCTAGAAACACTTAGAAAATGCATAGTTTGGTCATTAACTGAAAGTCACCTCTGCAAATTTGAATCCAGCCATCCTGCTTTGAATAATTGATTTACTGATCAAAAGATTGCATATGCTGCTGGAGCAAATGGAGGCGCTGTCCATTTCAACAAAAAAAATAATAACAAACTGCCTGGCTTTTTATTTCCATTTTTAGCATCCAAGAATGACAGGATGCTAAATATCAGTTCCCGAGGAAGCATCCTACTCTTTTTTTTTCCCCCTGGCGTAAACAGAATAAGGAGGAGGATATTTAAAGCATCGGTAGCAGATTTCAACCACCCCATTTCTTTTCTTTAGCTAAATGAAATCCTTATTATTTTACTTTTCTTTTTGCTTGCTTGCTTCCCGTTTTATCTTTCTACAGTGCCAGGAATGCTGGAGTATGAAAGCCTTCAGGGGATTTCAGGCTTAAAACCAACCGGATTTCGCAAGCGTTCCTCCAGCGTCGATGACACAGATGCTTACACGATGACCTCCATCTTGCAACAGCTCAGTTATTTTTACACAACCATGTGTCAGAATGGCTTAGACCCGGAGCTTCTGAAGCAGGCCGTGAGGCAGCTCTTCTTTCTGATTGGAGCAGTTACTCTGAACAGTCTCTTTCTCCGGAAAGATATGTGCTCTTGCAGAAAGGGGATGCAAATAAGGTAAACCTGTGTTTTGAAATAACAACAACAACAACAACAACAATAATAATAATAATAATAATAATAATAATAATAATAATAANAGTTGGCTTTTCCAGCAAGCCAGCCTGGCCTGAACAAAATAAAACAAATTATTGATCACTGTTAATTTTAATTTTTTTAAAAAATGTTATTGTTAATCTTAATTGGGTTTGTTTTTTGGATACTCTATCTAACTTTTTTTTAACTTTTGTAATATGTTTTTATTTTTTATTTTGTTGTTGTTGTTGTTATAATCATCATCATAAAAATAGGGGAACGGCATAGTTATCAGAGTTTTCTCTTATTCCTATTTTGGTTGAAGATGATGCCCGACCTTAAGATGCAGATCTCTGAGCTTGAGAAGCAGAAGCTGGATCTTGAGAATCGTCTTCAAGATGAACTTGCCAAGAAAAACGGTAATTTGCACAACGGGGGATTATTATTTTTTTGCCATGGATGTTCTACTCTGGCGGGACGAGAATTGGGGCGAGGGGTGTGCATAAGATCAGTCACAGTTTTCGTTTCTGGCATGCTGACTTCATAGAAGTCGGGATGGCATCTTGCATGTCCTGCCAACCCTTCCCTCTCCACTCAAGAGCCAGACTGGTTGGTGGTCAAGGACCTGACCTAAAAGAGGGAGTCCCAAGTTCAAGTCCTACTTAGGCATGGAAACTGTCCAGATGAGTTTGCGTTGGTTACTCTCTTAGCCCAAGAGGTGAAATCGAAAAATATCGAGCAACCTTCATTGATTCAGATTATAGTCCATAACATTCAACAAAGAGGGCTTCATCCTGCAGTGGGTCGATTTGAGTTTGTAATCTGAGAGGCAGAGAGGGTAGGAAAGAGAGGGAGGGGGGAGAGAGAGACAGAGACAGAAGGAAAGAAAGGAAAGAGAGCAAAAGAGAAGGAAAAAGAAAGAGAAGGAAAGAGAGGGAGGGAAGGAAAGACAGAGAGAGAAGGAAAGAGAGAAGGAAAGAGGGAGGGGGAAAGAGAGAAGGAAAGAGACAAGGAAAGAAGAAAAGAGAGAAGGAAAGAGGGAGGGAATGAAAGAGAGCAAGAGAAGGAAAGAGAGAGAAAGAGAAGGAAAGAGAAAGAGAAGGAAAAAGAGGGAGGGAAGGACAGACAGAGAGAGAAGGAAAGAGATAGGGAAGGAAAGACAGAGAAGGAAAGAGGGAGAGGGAAAGACAGAGAGAAGGAAAGAG